CAGCGCCTTTCCCTGTGCTTTGACAAATTAATGGTTGATGTTAATCGAAGCTTGGATTCAAAAAACCGAGACAAGTTTACCCAGAATTTGACAATATTTAGGAATGATTTTCGTGTCAAATAGCTATATGCTTGTGGGATTACCTCCAATTTTAATCCACTTGCACTCGTAATGATATCTGTCACCTTGAGGATTCATCTCCGTGTTACAGATGGCTCCTAATATGAAAATTTTCATCCTTGGCAAACACCAATCATTCAGGAGTATTTTGAGTGCATTTGGGATTCTCTGTGGACATGAGAAGTAGCATGCTAAATGAACTTGTACTAATTGTGATGTACATAATTTTTTGAATGAGTGCATAGTTGATGCCTAACATCCATCAATAGAACTTTTCAGGTTGTGGCAGATTGACTAAATGCACCTATTTTGAATGTATTTTTGAGCTGTTCTGTAGGAGAATGCTTAGTTATATTATTTGTTAGGTGAACTTGTTTTGAGTTGTAAATTCTATGTTGATCATTGATCATTTACTAACTTTTGGTTGTAATGGTGCTCTTTACAGCTAAAATCTGAATTCCTTGTTATTTGATTTCATTTAAGCCGTGTTACATATTGTTGCTACTATTGTTGTTATTGTTGTTGTCATTTAATACAAATGTAGGAGGGAAACTCTATCCTAGTATCACGGAATGGCTATTTCATAACACATTAGCCCATCTGGCACTAGCGCTCTCAAGGACTTAGGCAAGAGAAATGATTTAGTTCAGCCTTTATCCAAACATCTCAGAGTAGCACTCTCAAGGACTTGGCCTATATATAGGCAAACCCAAGAGAGCAAGAGAATTCTACAATCTAAGGTTACAATGCTTGACCTCTAGAAGTTCTAGTTCTACACTAGTCTAGGCCTCTTATGTACAAGACTAGGCTATTCTACAGCATCCAATAGTAAACCACTAGCCTTTGGGCTGGTGGTCACTTAAGGCCTGTTACCATCAATTGTCACATTATGTGGCTCTCTTAAAAATCCAGACGGGTGTGTAGTGCATTCGTCTAGTCCGATAGCGGTTCGGTCCCTGTTGGTCCCTCCCATTGGTTCAGTTATGCCTCCTTTAGAATATGTTAGAGAAGGAGTAAGAATAAGTGTAGAGTAAACTATTGCTGACTGTCGAAAAAAAAAATACTACATCCAATAGTAGCCTATAGTAATTTGGAATATTCTACAAAATATATGTGAGGTTTTCTATAATTCTTTCGTAAGAGCTAGTCATGGGTATTAATTGCACTTTTTCCTAGGGGTGTTATCAAATTTTGTTTCAAGTCATGGTGAGAGATACGACTAGGTGAAGAGATTAAGAGAAAATTTTTATCAGATTTATGTACTAATGTTTTATTAGCTATCTATTATTTTATATTTTCTTTTAAAGTTCTTTGTCTACAATCTTAATTGATTTTATATGGGTTTGATCTAATAAAAAGTAGGGATTTTTCCTACTTGAGTAAGGATTTTCTCAATTCCTAATAATAAGTTTATCTTTTTCCTATATTAAAATTATTTCTTAATTTCTTTAGGCATGTTCATATTTAAAAGAGCAAATTGCACTAAAAGTCACTAAACTGTACACTTGTGCTGGTCTAGGCTATTAAACTATTTCCTTAGTCGAAAATGTTGCTGAACTAACCAAAATGCATGCTTTGTGTCATTCTGTATAATTTGGTCGTCAAAACAAGCGAAATGGACATCATGTGACTTGTAGGCTTGGTTTTTGAGGGGCAAAATCGTTGATTTAGTTTTTTGGTTGATGTTTGTCTTCTGCCCTTGAATGTTATAGATAACAATCAGGCTCTATTTTCTTTTCCACCCTAAGGCCCTTGTGAATTTTTGCCCAAATCTAAAGTAGATTTTTCCTTGCCATCTCCACACCACTAGCCAGCCAATGGCTGGGGTTCGTAATCATTGTTTTTTGAATTGATGTGGTCTTTTTGCCTTCCAAGAAAAGGAAGAGGATTTTTTCAAGTTCTCTCTTTGTTTAAGTGGAATCAAGTAGGGTTTTATATGTTCACACATGAAATAGAATCAAGTGGGGTCTTATATGTTCACATGAAACCCTAAACTCTTTTATTAGTTTTGAAACAACTACTATGCCTACTTCCACTTAACATGTGAAATGGAAGCAAGTGGGGCCTTATGTTATATGTTCATATAGAACTCTTCTATTAGTTCTTGAGCAACTAAGATGCCAACCAAGTGGTTGCTTGGAGCTGACTAAAATTTTTGAGTGTTTTCTTAATGTAGAATTTCTCTTATGGGAGAATTGCAATTATATTCTCTCATATTTGCAACTTATGCTTTTCACAGTTCAAAATTAAGCATTTTGGTCCTTAACGATGTTTGAAATACAAATTTGGTACTAAATTCTATTTTGTGTCAATTTATTTTGTACTTTGGAAGAAGAGAAAGTTAGACTAAGAGTTAAGGTATAAAAGAAACATAGATGTATAATATTATATGCATAAAGAAAGTCAATTGCAAGTAGCTTTATTTTTTGAAGCAAGCAATTTCACTTTTGGTCCACAATCTATGTGGTTAGAAATGAAATATGGGAACAAAGTTAATACTGACTAAGTTGCAGGTAGAGGTATCAAAATGGGTGACTTGGGCGGGTTTGGGTTGGGTAAAAAATGGGTAATAGGTTGTCACGCCCCGAGCTCGCACGTGCCCGTCACATGACACCCGCCGTACTCCCAAGTCCCACTTAGGAATACAAGACTACATTAACTAATTTAACTTTGACAGTACTAAACAATTTAACTAAATAAAGTGCGGTACGAATTACATATAAAAGGACGTCTACGAATAATCAAGACGTTCGTACATTTATTCTCCAATTGAAACAGCGGAAACAAAGGTAAATAAAACCAACAACTGGACGTAGCCAGCCTACCAACTTCTATTCATCTAAAACTAATAAAAGTCATCCTTAGGATCTTCTACGTAAACCAATTCATACTCTTCAGAATCTGCAAAAATAGTAAGAAGTGGGTTGAGCGACACATCGTTCAGTAGGTAATATTTACCCCTCTGTTGGACCATGCACTCTTGACTTTATAGATACATACATAAATATGGGTACAACCCATATCGTTTGCATATCATTCACATCCATAATTTTGAAAGTAACATCATTTATAAAACAATCAATAGTGAAGAATGACAAGGAATTTAAAAGCACTTTCTTGACAACCATACTTGGAAAATCGTAACGTCATAAATCACTTTGCAACAATTCATATGCATCTCCATATCCAATCATGTATCATCCCATAAAACGTCACATATCCCGTTCATAGATCATTTCAAAATAGTTCATAAATCACTTCATATCGTTCATAAACCTTCTTTCAGTTCAGCTCATAACAAGTACATGTAATGATCGGCTACTGAGTACTCAACCTAGAGATTTTACCCCTTCTAGGTGGGCGACCAACAAGTTTTATGACTACCGATTGGTCTCATTTCAATCTTGGGTCAATTGGCTGGGCTTTATACCAGGCTACCATGGCGGTTAGACAGGACTATAGCCCCTACCGTCTATTCCATAACTGCTCTGAGCTTTACTTGTCAAAATTCATTTTATATATCGTATACATAAACCTTTGCTTTCATAACAGATTCAGCTCATTTTGTATATAAGAAACATATCAAACATTTCAAATAAGTCACATGGTCTATTTTGTATAGTAAAGTATAGCTTTCATAATTATCCAAGTAAAACATTTTAACCAAACACCTTTCGAGTCAACATAGCAAAATGTGATTGAAAACCAGAATTTCATTTTGCATATTTGAAATTTCAGAAGGGTAAGTACCACCTACCTCTGTTTGGCTGCTCGAGTGGAGCTACCTTAGGTCCTTGTATTGCACCTATCAAATGCATAGGTTCCCTAATTAGTTGTTACTTCCTATAAATACATAAATATACAACCTCTACGTAAGTACAAGATTCATATCTAGACCATTTTATGGACCCTAATAGCATTCCCCTCAAATCGGACGATTTCTACTTTTGGAAAGTTTTCTAATTTGGAAAGTTTCTTAATTTGGAAAGTGTACATTTTGCAAGGCTTCCTAATTTAGAAAGTTTCTTAATTGAGAAGGTTCTCCTTTTTGTAAAGTTTCCTAATTTAAAAGAAGATAATTATTTATTATTATTATTATTAACGGTATCGTCCACCTTATTATTTACTATCATTATTGTTATCCTTATTGTACTACCTCTAGCCTTATTATTACTATTATTATCGTCCTTGTCGTCGCTACTTTATTTTATTACCACTTATATCGATTTACTAATTAGTTATTATTACCTTTCACTTTATTCCTACCTTTGTGCGTGTGTAGGTGTTATTATTATTTATGTATATATGCACATATATATATTGATTTATTATTATAATTATTGTCTTAATTTATTACACTTGTATTTATATTTATATTTTCGTTTACATCCTTTATTTGTTCATCCATATTATTATTACTATTATTATTATTATTTTTTTATTTCTGGGGGGGCCCATGTTGGCCTTTTGGCCAACCATGGCTGACCATGGTCGCCAGACCCTCTGGCGACTTATACCTTCAATTGGCTGGCCGAAAGGCCAACCATGATTTTGCTCCATTGTCGCCAGCAAGTGCTGGCGACATCCTCTAAATGTTTTATTTTTGCTTCTATCTTTCGGCCAACCTTTGCAAAATTCTTTCTTGGCCGCCAGAGATGGCGGCCCCCCACCCCTTTCTTTTTTTTTTTTTTTTTTTTTTGCGCTTGGCGTTGCAGAAGCAACGCCTAGCCATGACAGAGCAGCGGCAGCAGCCGCTGCCCTTCTTTTTCCTCATCATTTTTTGTCAACAGATTCCAAACACCCTCTAATCTCAAAAGTAAAATCAGTCCCCTTTATTTCTATTAACTCATATACGAATCTTATCAAACATATATCTACACCTATATAGCAACAATACCTGTCCATAAAATTTCTAGAACAATTTAATACATCTACTACAACTTGAAAGAGAGGTTTTCTTGCGTGAACTCGAGACTTACAGGTTTAGGTGCCTAGTCGTCGGATCGATTGCCGGTGTTGCCTGCTCCTCCTTCTCTCCTCTCTGACGGCTCTTCCTCTAGGGAGGCAAACGAAAGAAAAGTAAGGCTAGGGTTATTTTCCTGTCTAGGGTTTTAATAAAATCCTAAACCTAGCACTATTTATATTAGTACCCCTTACCCTATCCTGAAGTTACCTTATTTTATTTTTCCCCTTTTTACTTAGTAACTTTATTCTTTTAATTAGTTGAGAAAAATAAAATAAGCTAAAAACTAAATAAAAATAAGGAAATAAAATTGGTGCCGCATTCGTGGGTTTCACATTCTACCCCCTTACAAAAAGTTTCGTCCTCGAAACTTGCGTACCTTGATCAAAGAGATATGAGTACCTATTCCGCATGTCCTCTTCTAATTCCCACGTTGCCTCTCGTGGTGCATGGTTCGTCCATTGCACCTTAACGTAGGGTATGGTCCTCCTCCTTAGGACTTGATCCTTTCGATCCACGATTCTTAAGGGAACTTCCTCCACTGATAGGTTCTCCTTCACCTCGATGGGTTGGTCCTCCAAAATATGACTCGGGTCTGATACATACTTCCTCAGTTGGGAGACATGGAACACATTATGTATCCTTGACAAAGCAGGTGGGAGAGCCAGTCGATACGCCAGAGGTCCAACTCTATCCAGTACCTTGTAAGGTCCGACATATCTCGGACTTAACTTGCCACTTCGTCCAAATCTCATCACTCCCTTGGTAGAAGATACTTTCAAATATATATATTTTTTTCTTGATTGCAATTCTAAAGGTTTTCTCTTTAAATCCGTACAACTCTTGTTTCGGTCTTGCAACTCTTGTTTCGGTCTTGCACTACTTTTAGTCTTTTTCGAATAACCTTAATTCTCTCCAAGGGTCTTTCCACCAAATCCGGGCCAGTGATCAGTTTCTTACCCACTTCATCCCAATATAAGAGAGATCCACACTTTCGCCCATACAACGCTTCAACTGGTGCCATACCTATCCCGCTATGATATTTATTATTGTACAAAAACTCAATTAGTTTCACCAACCTATCCCAACTATCCGAGAAGTCTAGAACACAAGCTCTTATCATGTCCTCCAATGTCTGTACGATTCTTTCTGACTGTCCATCCATTTGGGGGTGGAAGGCGGTATTTAGTCTTAGGTATCAGTCCCCATAATCTCTTGGTAGGTCGATTAAAATCTAAACGTGAATTTAGGGTCCTAATCCGACACTACTTTCACAATTCATTTTTAAGTTAGGTATCACATTCTCTCCCCCTTTTAAAGGTTTCGTCCTCGGAACCTACAGGATATAAATATCAAAATAAGCTGACAAAATTTCCAATGTTCTTGCAATACATCTTGGGAATTATTTCTACAATGTCTAAATTGAATTTCCTTATTTAATTCTATCAAACTTCTGCTGCGCACTCTTATATTTCCGCAATACCTTCAATCTTCATATTTATATGACTCAGATGAACATAATTTCTCTCACAAATCCGGCGTTCTAAATATCGGCTTAGAATACTCTATAGAGATCAACCTATAAGAAGGATGTCATAAACACTAACAGTACCATTTCTTCCTTTTGGTCACACATTCTATCCCAACTTACTTATCTACTATCACAAAAGTAATCATTATCTCAATATATGGGTTCCTGCCCACTGTGTTTGTAATTGGTAACGAAAATCTCTTATTTCTCTCAAATCTCAAATCTAAAATAGCATCGACCTATTTTCCAGATCCTATAACCTGAGTTATTATACCGCTAAATGCCATGGGAATCTTATTTCCTTTGGTCATTCATTTTTTTCCCTAACTCAATTCAATTTTCGAAAAACATTAATACCTTAAAAATCATTTCACAAACTTCTTGATCATACAAAAATATAGAAAATTTTATACAAAAATTGTCACCAAATTCTCATATTGGAATATAACAACTTTGTCGTAACTTTGGTAAAATATTTATCTATGCGTAGAATTTCAAACTCACACAAGTTTAGAAAACTGAAAGTGTTTTGAAATACACAAGTCAACTAACTATTCCTTTTTCAGCATTAGAATTTAGAGTACAAAGAAAATTTATCAAGAATCATTATTAAATTTATCAAGAAAATTTATCAAGAATCATTATTAAATTTTTCTATACGATAAGAATTTTTTTTTTTGGAATACATTTATCTAAAGCTCTTTTTGAGATTGGATGAGTATATAAAAAAACATTTTGCACAGGATTATGGAATATAATCATTTAGTGTATTTATTCTTTTTTTTTTCTTATAAATATATACATATATATTTAGAAACTATACTTACCAAGCAACTGTAAGGTAAAGGTACATATTTAAAAATTCTGATTAAAAACTATTTGTGCAAATAAAATTTTGGTTTCACTGTTTATTCATTTTTAGGTAAAAAGTATGTAAAATTATATATTGTAAGAAATTTATAAAATATTTATTGCTTGATCATGATGTAATAATACCTGAACTAATAATATCAGCTAGTTTAATAAATGTCTTGAGCATTAGATCTAATTATCGTATACCTCAAAATAAGTCAACAAAATTCCAAGATCCAACATGTATTGCATACGTACTTTCCCTTGATACTCTCAGTTTCCTGCAGACAATACTTCAGATATACATAATATTTCCTACACGTCCGACATCTTAAATTTAGAATGTACCACCAAAATCATATCCAATAAAAAGGACATCATGAACACCTATAGTACCATTTCCAACTTAAATCACACATGCAACTTTTTCAAGCCTATTTATTCAATCACAATTGATCATTTCCTAGTGTGTATTCCCTATAAAGAGTAAATCGTACCCCAGGCTTTGTTATCACTAAATATTACGAAAATCTCTTATTTCGCAGCCTTGTATCCAACTTCATTCCAATTCCTAACAACACTAATATTACAAACATTATTTAACATACTTCTAGATCACATAACCCAAAACTTGATAACATTAAAAATCACGAGAATTTCTTATTTCCTTAAATCCTTTTTCTTTCATCTCCTTTCAATTCCCAAAATCCCTGATATCTCAAACACTATTTCACATACTTTCAGATCATATAATCTGATCTCTGGTACTGCTAAAAGGTCACAGCAATCTCTTATTTCTTTTGATCGGTTTTTTCCATCTCCTTTCAATTTCCAACGTCATTAATATCCAAACATAATTTCTTACACTCCCAAACCATGTAACCTAAGCTCTGATACCACTAAAAATGTCACGCCCCGAGCCCGCACGTGCCCGTCACATGACACCCGCCGTACTCCCAAGTCCCACTTAGGAATACAAGGCTACATTAACTAATTTAACTTTGACAGTACTAAACAATTTAACTAAATAAAGTGCGGTACGAATTACATATAAAAGGACGTCTACGAATAATCAAGACGTTCGTACATTTATTCTCCAATTGAAACAGCGGAAACAAAGGTAAATAAAACCAACAACTGGACGTAGCCAGCTTGCCAACTTCTATTCATCTAAAACTAATAAAAGTCATCCTCAGGGTCTTCTACGTAAACCAATTCATACTCTTCAGAATCTGCAAAAATGGTAAGAAGTGGGTTGAGCGACACATCGTTCAGTAGGTAATATTTACCCCTCTGTTGGACCATGCACTCTTGACTTTATAGATACATATATAAATATGGGTACAACCCAAATCGTTTGCATATCATTCACATCCATAATTTTGAAAGTAACATCATTTATAAAACAATCAATAGTGAAGAATGACAAGGAATTTAAAAGCACTTTCTTGACAACCATACTTGGAAAATCGTAACGTCATAAATCACTTTGCAACAATTCATATGCATCTCCATATCCAATCATGTATCATCCCATAAAACGTCACATATCCCGTTCATAGATCATTTCAAAATAGTTCATAAATCACTTCATATCGTTCATAAACCTTCTTTCAGTTCAGCTCATAACAAGTACATGTAATGACCGGCTACTGAGTACTCAGCCTAGAGATTTTACCCCTTCTAGGTGGGCGACCAATAAGTTTCATGACTACCGATTGGTCTCATTTCAATCTTGGGTCAATCGGCTGGGCTTTATACCAGGCTACCATGACTTTCTCAATTGGTCAATCGGCTGGGCTTTATACCAGGCTACCATGACTTTATCCATTGGTCAATCGGCTGGGCTTTATACCAGGCTACCATGACTTTATCAATCGGTCAATCGGCTGGGCTCTATACCAGGCTACTATGATCTCACCAATCGGTTGGGCTTTATACCAGGCTACCATGGCGGTTAGACAGGACTATAGCCCCTACCGTCTATTCCATGACTGCTCTGAGATTTACTTGTCAAAATTCATTTCATATATCGTATACATAAACCTTTGCTTTCATAAAAGATTCAGCTCATTTTGTATATAAGAAACATATCAAACATTTCAAATAAGTCACATTGTCCATTTTGTATAGTAAAGTATAGCTTTCATAATTATCCAAGTAAAACATTTTAACCAAACACCTTTCGAGTCAACACAGCAAAATGTGATTGAAAACTAGAATTTCATTTTGCATATTTGAAATCTCAGAAGGGTAAGTACCACCTACCTCTGTTTGGCTGCTCGAGTGGAGCTACCTTAGGTCCTTGTATTGCACCTATCAAATGTATAGGTTCCCTAATTAGTTGCTACTTCCTATAAATACATAAATATACAACCTCTACGTAAGTACAAGATTCATATCTAGACCATTTTATGGACCCTAATAGCATTCCCCTCAAATCAGACAATTTCTACTTTTGGAAAGTTTTCTAATTTGGAAAGTTTCTTAATTTGGAAAGTGTACATTTTGCAAGGCTTCCTAATTTAGAAAGTTTCTTAATTGAGAAGGTTCTCATTTTTGTAAAGTTTCCTAATTTAAAAGAAGATAATTATTTGTTATAATTATTATTATTATTATTATTAACGGTATCGTCCACCTTATTATTTACTATCATTATTGTTATCCTTATTGTACTACCTCTAGCCTTATTATTACTATTATTATCGTCCTTGTCGTCACTACTTTATTTTATTACCACTTATATCGATTTACTAATTAGTTATTATTACCTTTCACTTTATTCCTACCTTTGTGCGTGTGTAGGTGTTATTATTATTTATGTATATATACACATATATATATTGATTTATTATTATAATTATTGTCTTAATTTATTACACTTGTATTTATATTTATATTTTCGTTTACATCCTTTATTTGTTCATCCATATTATTATTACTATTATTATTATTATTTTTTTATTTCTGGGGGGGCCCATGGTCGCCAGACCCTCTGGCGACTTATACCTTCAATTGGCTGGCCGAAAGGCCAACCATGATTTTGCTCCATTGTCGCCAGCACTCCTCTAATTTTTTTTTTTTTGCTTCTGTCTTGGCCAACCTTTGCAAAATTCTTTCTCGGCCGCCAGAGATGGCGGCCCCCCACTCCTTTCTTCTTTTTTGTTTTTTTTGTGCGCTTGGGGTTGCAGAAGCAACGCCTAGCCATGACAGAGCAGCGGCAGCAGCCGCTGCCCTTCTTTTTCCTCATCATTTTTTGTCAACAGATTCCAAACACCCTCTAATCTCAAAATTAAAATCAGTCCCCTCTATTTCTATTAACTCATATACGAATCTTATCAAACATATATCTACACCTATATAGCAACAATA